TGAGAAGAAGCAATTCAGTGGTTTTCTCCACTCTCACTTTTTAACTTCTGTTTTAAAAGCTGGATCTAATAATGCTTTCAAATAGCTATCCAAGTCAATTATTAACAATGACTGAAATTTCTAAGGAGCTAACAGCTGCAATGAAATGATTCCCATTTGCATGAACAGATGAGAAAATGGAGAATGTAGGTATTAGTGAAAAAAGGTAGTATTTTTCTCTTCCTTATGCTTGTTATTAGTAAAACTACTCAGAGTGAAAACATGATAAACATACCCATTTTTAAAATATCTCCATTCTATTTGCTTCATTGAACTTGAAAACTGCTTTGATTTTTACTGTATTTGGCATAATTTAACAGTGGCAGCAGGCTTTTCTTGATTTTTCTGTAAATAGTTTTTACCATAGCCCTGATATTTGGACCATTAAACTCTGATTCTGATTAGGAGGTGTCTTGCAAACAAACATGCATTTGCTCAGGCAACATTCTCTGGTGGCTTTTCTCAGCTGTAGCTCATCTGAAGTTATTGATGTGAAGGTTCTTTTTCTACATTGTGACAACACCAACAAGCAGAGTGTGAGTGAACCTGTCACTTCAGTGATCATTAAGGCATATCACCTGCTTTGGCAGGCCTGTTCTCCAGCTTGGGCTAGAGATGACACTGTTCCCTGTCCCTCAACAACATCCCTTGTACCTTTTGGAAAACGGTCCCCTGCAGGTGTGTCACACCTTATCTTCCCAAAGGGTATGGATTTGTACCAAGAGAAAAGAACATGAACTGAGGATGCTGAAGACAGTACACATTTGCCCCACCTCGCTAACAACCAGTGGTCTTTGTAAGTGGAGCTAGGCACAGAAGCTTTTCAGGCTGATGCAGAAAGACATCCCTGCGCTCACTGGAAAGAAGCTGTGGACCACCATTCCAAGGACTCTCCTAACTCTCACCGAGGAAAAGCAGCAAATAGCCAAGTGGTGGCAGCACCATAAACTGCTTTAGTTGTTCACTCAAGTGAGAGTGGAGCCCCGGACTTCAAAAGAAAAAAAAAAAAAAAAACAAAAACAAAAAAGGAGTTTGAGGAGAAGAGAACCAAGCAGTTCAGATATGCCAGTCCTAATAAGAAACCCTTACCTTTTGTTGTGGTGTAGGCAGTCCTAGAAGTATAATCTGAAAACAGAAAACCGTAAAAACATAAATATAGGAGAAAAAAAAAAAAAGGCAAAAAAGCTATATTCTGCCAGAAAGTGTAAAAAAATTTCTCAGTTTGGAATAAAACCTTTTCCTGTGGGATTGTGTTTTAAGAGCCAAGTGATAAAACCCCAGCTTCCCTGTAAGTTAAATGAGGTTTAAAATAAGGAATGAATGAAAGAGAATTGTATAAGTGAAAGTGAAAAAAAAAATATACAGCTTATTTATGCCACCTACTGGATTTTTCCTGAAGTATCTTTTCAATCCATTTATTGTCATGATGATGTCTGTCACTCCAGAAAATACATTTGCAGGGGAGACGACTTGCACAAGTAGACCCACTGATATCAAGCCAGTGACTCACATGAGTAAATGACATGAGTGAAATAATACAAATGGAGGAGTGCAGATGGGATTTAAACCCGTTTATTCTGCAAAGCTGATGGCTATAGGGCAGCCAAGACACCCAGAGCTGCAGGGAAGCACTGAAGTCCAACAATGAGGAGTTTCCCAGCTCCTATCAGTGTCTGAGGGGAATGTGCTGGCATGGTTTTCCTCCTTCGCTTGACTCCCTCTGCCTGTCTTTGATATTTTGTTCCAATTGTCCAAAGTGTTTAAGGACACATCGATGTTTTCAAACAATGCGGATCGTCAGGGAGCATACTTTATCTTCCACCTCTCACCACTCCTGCAGCTGAGGCTCTGTTGGGAATTCACAAATTCTGGGGATTACAGCCTGTAAAATGACCTGGGAGAGTAAAAAATATCTACTGCAAACAGACAGGGCAAACCCCCTCTGGTTTGGCCCACTGACAGAAAAAAAAAACCCAACCAACCAACCAAAAAAACAGAATCACGTCTAGCAGATCTCTAAAAGGGACTTAATAAATGCACTAAACTTCACTTACTTCTGTGAAAGGTCCTCACTTTCTAACAACAGTGTTAGAATTAAACAATTTTTAATTTGTGACCTCTCTACTGGTTGCTCAGTCATGCCAAATGATAATCTTGTTGGCAAATAAAACATTTTTGCAAGGTCCAAGGGATCAGACAAAGGCATGCATCAGCAAAGGACAGATCATCACTAACAGATGACGTTTTGTACTTTAAAGGCTTGTGCAAAAAAAGATAAAACTAAAGGACAACTTTCAGTACCTATTAAAAAAAAAGGCAAAAGTATTTTGATTTTTTTTTTCATCAGAAACATCAATTACAGTTATTTGCAAAGGTGCTGGCAAACTGCAGTAATGTTTAGTCACTGCCATCATCACTGCACAGACTTGAAACTGATGCTCAGACGTACACTAAATGAGTTACAATGACTACAATTTCTTGAAGATTTGCAGTGAGGTTGCTGTGATTTGTGTTAGGACTAATGGCAGTTTATGACAATCTCCTTTTACTTCATGACTCCACAGAGAACAAATCCAGTATCACCAAACACCCATTAAAAATTTTGAGAAAAATACTGAACTCTAAACCCACCTTCAAAGTGTGACTTGAGCTAGCAAAACAAAAGCAATTCATTATTAAATGATCAATCATGTACTTGCATTCATCATGCTTCTAGGTATTTTGGTGGTATTCATCCAGAACACAAAATACCAAATCATTTTTTTTTTCCCTCACCAGTAGGTTCTGCAACATTATGGGTAATAAAGACCTGTGCAGCTACCCTGAAAATCAGGAGTAAAAAATACTAGTTATGTGAAACCGTTATGAATGAATGTTCTTCTTGGAACTGTTGCATTTTTTGCATCTTGTAACTCATCTCTGAAGTTAGCTGTCACACCTAGTTACTAATGACAAGTCATAGATAGGCAGCTGGTGACTGCTATTATTTCTATTTTGTGTTTGCTTTATATACTGTGCTTCTCTTATCTTTCCTCTTTTTTCACCCTTTCCAGTTTTTCTTTCTCCTTCTCCTGTCATTTCTGATGTGCTTTTCCTTCTCCTACCTCTTCATAGTTAAGTTGGTTGTGTTTTATTTTATTTTGTCTTTCTTGTTTTTTTGATTTAGCCTCCTTTCATCTACTTCTTAATTTGCATTTTCAATTGACTCCAAGACAATTTGCACGTGAGCACCCAGAAACATTCCTGCATGTGTGCTCCACCATGCACTGACCCTCACAAACTGGAGATTCTCTTTCAGGACGCGCTCCTAGACAACAACTTCAGAGACTGATCAATGCCACTATGAGTTGAGAAGATCTCAACTGGTTTCATTCAGGGAGGAATTTCATATTTTGATATAGGAAGTTAAGTATGCCTCTTTGCATTTTTCACCTCCTTAAATATAAGTTATATGCACCATTAGGTTTAAAGACAAATCCTAATTTTGTTCCCCTAAACACTGTATTCATCTTCTCTGTTGCAGGAGAATGTGCAGTTACTGACATCAGAAATGTCAATCCCAGCAAAGTGATGCAAGGAAAAAGTTTCAGTTTCTGTAAGTTGAATGATGGTCATACACCCACACCAAGCCTGTAAAACTTCTGCTGGGGCTTTGCTCGAGGACCATCTGACTGCTTGAGGCCGGGCCTTAACAGGTGCAGTTTAATGTGGTCTCTCTACAGGATGGAAAGTACCATAAATGTCTCCAATGTTGTACTGTAAAAAAAAAAATTCTTTAAATGTCATGTATTAAAATCTAATGCAAAGGATCAAGCAGCAAAGGATCAAGCAGCAAAGATCTTTCTTCAGGCTAAGATAGGCACTCGCTGTTTCCAGCACAGAAGCTCAATCAGAGCAGAATTAGCTGGGAGTTAGCTGATCTCAAAGAGGGAGACGCTTTCCTTGGCTTCTTCCAGCAAGAAATAAATTTCTACCCACTGTAACTTATTACCATCTGATATGCTGAGTCATGAAGCTGAGGTTATAGAAATCTTTATGCAATCTTTATAAATCAGCCTCACATAATCTCAGGTGCTTTCTGCTTTATCTCTGTTGAGTCACTCATTTGACAGTTGTCATTCATCTTAGATTGAGATGTAGTTTAATAGTTTCATTTCAGCATGAAGATAGCGTCATCTAAAGTTGAGCTCAGAAAGATTTAAAGGTGTAACAGAGGAAATATTAATACTGTAAATAATATCTGTAGAGCTGTATGCATCTATAAATCACATAGTGCCAAGCTGGAAGGGCAGCCTACGTAAAGAAGAAAAAAGCATCTTCTCTTCCCCTGCAGAGTACAGCCGCTCTGCCATCCACACCTGCTCAGAGGTGATGGCTGCCGAGTTGTCACCACACTCTCACTGCCTGTGCCTGTTGGGATCACCTGCCCACACAGCTATCGATCCAAGAGTGTTTCTACCCATTGACGGATATGAGCGTGAGGGAACCTGTGAACGGGAGATGTAGTCCAGCAAAACGCCAGTAGCCTCAAAACAAAGAGCAACTGAGCTGCGGCAACACGGGTGTTTTATTTGGGGGTCACAGCTCTCCCCGGGCCAGGCCATATTGGTCGCCTGCCCAAACTCGACTTGCCCAACTCAGGGGACCGCAAGGCTTAAAAAGAGCTACTTTGGATCGATTCTGCCATGCCCTCTCAGGCCTCACCCGGCGTCACCGCAACGGACACGGCCTGCGCCGGCCACTGTCCCGGCACCTCGGTTGGGGAGCTGCTGCAGGGAGGCCGCGGGGCCGCCTCCGACCGGGGGCCAGACCGTGCTATCGGGCAGGACACAGGCACCTCCACGACCCCGCCCGCTCTCGGGGCCGCCCCGGCCCCGCACCCACTGCCCCGCTGTGCATCCCACGGCCTCCCTCCTGGGCAGGGTCCCGCCTTTCCCGCCGCGGGCCGGCCTGGTGGGGGAGGGAGGAGTGGGGAGGGAGGGGTGGTGGTCCCCCCGCCCCGGGGAGATACCCGACGCCAGCTCCCCGGGCTAGCGAGGACTTCGCGGCCGCACGGACCCCCCGGAGTAGGGGTGGGGGGAGGCACGGCAGGAGGGGAAACAGCCGCTTCTTCTGCCCGCCAAAACGCGTGGGGTGACGGGACGGGACCGGCCAGAGCCGCGCCGACCACTCGCCCGGCTGTCGCCAGCCCGCCGCGATGCCCAGTGACAACCCGGCCTTCAGCAAGCCCCCGGACGTCGCGGGGCCGGGGGACAAGGCAGGCGGCTTCGGGAAGGCGGCAGCGCCCATGGCGGCCGTCCCGGCGGACAGGGGTGCCGGCGCGGCGGGGAAGAAGCGGCCGCGTATGCCCAAGTGTGCCCGCTGCCGCAACCACGGCTACTCCTCACCGCTGAAGGGGCACAAGCGGTTCTGCATGTGGCGGGACTGCCAGTGCAACAAGTGCAGCCTGATCGCCGAGCGGCAGCGGGTGATGGCAGCGCAGGTGAGCTCTTCCCGCAGCGGCGAGGGGTGTCTGCCGGCGGCAGGCCGTGCCCTGCGCCCAGCGGGGTTGGTGCCCGTCGGAGCCAGGCAGCCGCGCCGAGGTGCGGTGCGATGCGCGACCGCGGCCGTGGGTGGCCTCGCTCCGGGCTCCAGTCAGTAGTTGCACCGGTTCCTTCCTACTTTAATGAGACTTTCAGTTGTATTTCTCTTAGCTTATATAATTTTTTTTACATAGCAAGTGGGAGATGCCGCAGGGGCGCGCAGGATTGCGGTCGGGGCGAGCCGGCGGCAGCGGGGCGAGGAGCGGCACTGAGCGCTCGGCTGCACCCCAGCACGGCCAAGCGCCGCTCCCCCAGCCGGCTGCAGCCTAGCCGTGTGGACAGCTCCCGGCTGCACGGGACGGGCGGAATTGCGTTTGCTGATGCTGGGTGGCATTAGTTGAGCGCATTTCTGAGTTGGTTTTTTGTTTGTTTGTTTGTTTGTTTGTTTGTTTGTTTGTTTGTTTGTTTTTAACGGAGTTGTTCCAGATTTTTCGTATGGCAGCTCCGCAAATCACTAAGGAGGTGCGTCATTTTAAATCTAAACGAGGGCTCAGAAGTCGTTAAGAAAACGGCATCCAATTTAGCGGAGGAATAACTTTGTTTCATTGGTAGTCCCGCTTTCAGGCAGTGCAAATGTATGGTTGTATTATTCCTTGTGATCCTTATCTTGGAACTTTCATTAAGGGGGGTAGTCGGCATGTAATGGCTGCTGGCATACCTGAGCTCTGCTGGGATGGGGGGCGTGTTGCACTCTTTAGTTAGTGTAAATGTTCCCTGCAGACAAATGAGAAGGCAGCTGCTTGTGCAAGTGAAGGCAGTGGTATCAGACCCCCACATCCTGCACTGATGTGCGGTCAGACATTCGTGATCCTACATAAAATGAATGTTGGGTGGACAGCTTTTAAAAGCCTGAGCAGCCCTGGATTAAATCTTTCCCCTTTTTTTGTTCAGTTATTCAGTGCACGTTTATGAAACGTCCTCAGATCTCACTGGGATTGAGTTTTTGTTAATTTAAACAATTCCTCCTTGTCGGTGGCATGGCAGTCCAGAAATCATTGTTATGCCCAAGTTGCATGCATTTTCTCTGCCTGATATGAACTGTGAAATAATAAACGTGAATCCCTTTTCTATCTGCCTCGGGGAAGGGAGCACAAAGTGCAACGTTTCCAGAGCAAGTGTTTCCTTCTGCACAGACTGTTCTCCAGCAGTTCAGCTGCTTTTCCTAGGGAGTGGATGCCTTCTGCTAGCAGGCTCTGGTGATGGCCCTCCTGGGGGTTTTCTCTTCCCTGCCTAGTATTTGAAAGTGGCTTTGAAAGCCTCCCTGACTAAACCTTATCTGTGTAGGAGTTGCACACTGAAAGTTTGTCTTTCCCCCTTTGAGTATATTTCTGCAGTAAGCCCCTTGACGCTGGTGGAATTTCATCGGTCAAGGTTACTGGCTTGTGAAGTCAGAGTTACAGTGGTGTTTGCAAGTCTACACCTCTTGCTTGGGATGTCTTTTATGGGAAAAGCTAATACTAATTAACAGTATTACACATCTGCATTAGAAAAAATGTTGCTGTTGAACATGGAAATAGAGGGAAGTCCTGCCCAAGATATCCAGGAGAATTTTAAGCAACAAAAGCCCACAGTGCCAGTCTGTAATCTGGAACAGAATCAAATAAAGATGTAAATCAGTCACCCGACAAGGAGCAAGATAGGTAGCTGTAGCAGTGCCATATATATCTCCTAAACACATAACACAGCTTTGCATGAGTGGACAGATGTGCAAAATTGATCTACCAGTTCAGATGAGGCAGAAAGGACCCTCTGTCAGCAACAGATCTGGTTGGTTTGCACCCGGACTGCATATGGGCTTGGCCAGTGCCAGCTAGGTTTTGAAATATTGTCAGTGTTTGGAAAAAAATGGGAAGCTCCAGCTTTTCCAGGCCTGGCCAGCTATATGCAATGTGTGTGATACTGTCTGAGATGCTCTCTACATCGTACATTTGCCATGCTTCTTCCGTAACGGTTCTTTGTATACAGTGTAGTGTTTACTGAAATTTCCTTGAAGAGCAGTATTTCAGCAAAGAGCCAGCAAGGAAACATAGCAGGCTTGAACAGAGCAGCAGATTACGAGTATAAACCCTCATGAAGAGCTGCGTTATACTGATGAAGAGGCACAGTAGAGCCCTGCAAGCAGATTAATCTGGCTGGATTGTGAGAAGGTTCTAGAGAGTAAACCATGTGTGGAGTAGCTGAGGAAGCTGGGGTTGTTCAGCCTGGAGAAAAGGAGGGAGGCTCAGGGGAGACCTTACCACTCTCCACAGCTACTAGAAAGGAGGTTATAGCAAGATGGAGGTTGGCCTCTTCTCCCAGGCAACTAGCAGCAGGATAAGGGGAAATGGCCTCAAGCTGCACCAGGGGAGGTTCAAGGTGGACATCAGGAAGAATTTTGTCACAGAAAGGCTTGTCAAGCATTGGAACGGGTGCCCAGGGAAGTGCTGGAGTCACCGTCCCTGAAGGTGTTGCAGAAATGACTGGACATGGCAGTTAGTGCTATGGTTTAGTTAACACGGTTGTGTTTGGCCAAAGGTTAGACATCTTAAATAATCTTGGAGGTCTTTTTCAGTCTTAATGGTTGTATGGTTCTATGATCAACACTATTCAGACTGCCAAGAGGAAAAAAGCAGCCTGGAATCTGAGTCTTTCATTGTTGCCAGTATAAATTGTGCTCAAGCCATACCCTTAGGTCTGTATTTTGTTTTCAGGTTGCACTGAGAAGACAGCAAGCTCAGGAAGAGGAACTGGGAATCAGCCACCCAGTGCCCCTTCCCAGTGTCCCTGAGACATTTCTTAAGAAGAACAGCGGTGGCAGCTCTTGCCTCTCATTGGAAAGCAGCAGCCCTATGCACTCAATGAGTACAGCCATGACAGCAGCTAGTACACCATCAGGTAAAGTGCTGGGAGGGTGATGCTCATGGCCTGGGGCAGTGGCTAACACAGCTTATACCTGCTGTTGCTCCTCTTCCGCTCTCTGTGATGATGAGGTTATGGAGTCCCCTCTCCAAGAACAGTGTTGCACTCGTGGTACAGTTAGCAGAAGGGAAGAATCTGGGATGAGTCTGTCATAGTTTAGTTGATTATTTATATTTGAAAATCAAAATGTCTTTTTGGGCACTGTAATTAAATTCAGTAAGGTGTATGCCTGTGAGTAGAGATTTACGGGCAGCTTTTCTCCTTTGTCCCAAAATATGTACTCCTGCCTCAGTCCTGGCAACGGTGTTTTGGCTAGCTGTATGTCTTCTTCAAAATTTGAGTTTCCAGAACTGTATAGAAGCCAAATATGCAAAGAATGTTACTGATTTCAGCAGCAGAGATCTGTCAACTTTACGTGATCTGAAGGGGTGGTACGTCAGTACTGTGTGGCATGGTGTGATGAACTACAGTAGGCTGCTAGAGTCCTTCCACTTTATTGCATCTTACTGTATTGCATTTAACCCTCGTAAAACAAAAATCCCAAAAATTAACAGTCAACAATACTTGTATGTATATTCAGTAAAAGCATGGCCAGAAGGCACTGAAATGAAGACGCTAGACAAAACGTCTTTGCTATGTAATTGCTTTTGCCCTTTTCTAACTATGCCTGATAGATACAGCAATTGAATATGTATTAAACGAAAAAGCTTGTGTAATTGACTGCTTGTGTATAGACAAAAAAAAGAAAAAAGCAAACAAATATAGAAAAAAAGAAAAAGGAAATTTCAGTCATTATTAGTCATTTGTGTTGATGTCAATAGTGTAGGTGAAAAGATGATTCTAAAGCGGGCAGTGTCTTGCATTAACTAATAAAAGGACAGTGCATATATGTCTGTCAAATGACATTATTTGTTTTGCAGGCCATTTAAATTCTTGTCAGATGGATTTGTTGTACCCTGTGCAGATAGCAGTTTCAGACCAATGTAGAGGAATTTCTTTGGGAAGTTTTTAGAAGAACCACTTAATAAAACAGTAAATAGCTTTTTATTAGCTTTTTTTTGTTTCATTATGTTAATGTCACCTTTGAATTGATGCAGTTACTCCTTTCATATTTGCATTACTGCATGCTTTGGCTATGGACATGGAAAAAGCGGGATAAAGATTAAAGCAGTATATTCAGTAATGTATAGAGATTGTAACTCAGGGCAACTAGAAAATCCTTGTCCAAACAGAAAGGCCAAAAAATGAAACTGTCTTACTGTTGACAGAATTGGCGTTAGCTTTGATCTTAGTGTTTTTAAAATGTCAGTGACAGTATTTAGTTTATTAATCCCACTGTAATAATTGCTTACTAATTGAATTAAATTATGGCCTTTTAATGAAAAGCATCGACCAGACAAGCTTAAGACAATTCACATGGTTGAATAAAGATGTGAAAACATAAAAATGCCTAATTTAAAGTAGTTTGATTGTTTGAATGTTTCTGATTAGAACAGTCATCTTTCTTACAGCAGATTTCTCTTTGTGAGGAATTTAAATACATAGTTTCTCGATCATTTTACTAAATAACTAGCATCTACTAAATAACTGTTTGTAGATGACAACTTTTAAAATACACAGCTTCATCTGTGGAAAGAAGATGTGATTCCAGTCAAGAATCAAGTCAGGGTCAACCTTGTTCATCAGAAGTGGAAGAATCTGTGAATAATTCATAGTTTGGTTTTAGGCACCTAAGTAGCAACAGACATTTGTGCTTAGCTCAAAGGTGATTACACTGTACAAAAAAAATTATGTTCCAAATAATTGTAGTAGGTTCATCTGTTGAAAGCAGTGTAAGTACTAACAGGTTTTGATTTGATAACAGTGACTGTGTGTTGGCTTTCAAGCTCTAGAATGTGCTCTGCATTTACCCAGACCTGTAGAGTACCTTTATCAGGTGTCCAAGCGCGGGCTTTGGTGAGGAATATTGCTTGAATATCCTTAATGCTTTTCTTTTTAGCATACACTATTCATCTTTTTTTAGATGAAAAATTGCCATGTGACATGAAGCTCTTGCTTCAGGCGTTGGGTTGTTTCAGGACCAGGTGCTTGATCCTTGCATAGCTGTTTAATGATTTTACTGGTACCCTAAACTATGATTTTATTGACCCCATCAGAGCGAATGTCATTGTTTCAGTTTGATAGGCTGAGATGTTGATTTCACAAGAGTTTACAGTAATTATTAAAGCAAGTAGGGAAGGTGAAATCCTTTGTGGCAGGGAAGTCAGCAGCTCCTTGCCAGCCCCAGGAGAGCTGGTGGCTCCTGGGAATGCGGGGTGCTGTGTATGATTCACATTACACTGGGCAGGAGGTGATTTTGACAGTGGTAATTCTGTTCCTCCTCTAGGGTTTTGCCTTCACAAGAGCAGTTTTTCTTTTGTACTTCCATCACACAGAGTGTTGTTTGCCATTAGAGGAGTAATGTGTGAAGGAGCCACGCAAATCAGACATAGTGCCAGAGAAAGAGTTTTTCCTCACTGTATCTGTTTTATAGCCAGATCAGAAATATTATGACACCTGGAGACCAGAGACAGTTTTTCAGGTCCCTTTGTGACATGTCATTTTTGAAAAGGAGTAAAATGAATTATAATGGTCAAAGCAGAGATGTTTGAGCATTAACCATGTCAAGCGTGTTCACTGTGGATAAGAGCATATTCTCCCACTCAAAAGCAAACTGGGAATTTGAAGGGTAGTGGGAAGGGAGCAGACTATGGTCTTGGGGCATTAGCAGAATATTTTGCAAACAGAATTTGCTGTTTCTGTGCATTTTCCCTTAAAAACTTGTAGGTTGCTGACAGAGAAGGCCATATAATTGTACAGAGCATCAAAAAGGTATTATCCCAGGGCATTTGGAGTAATTGTCCTTCCTTCTGTGGGATGTTATGTTGTTATGTTAACGGGTGTGCAAAATTTAGGAAAGACTATGGTGAAGCATTTAAAACATGCCTTTCAGACATGCTCAGTTCATAAATGATGTTGTTATGTTAACAGGTGTATGAAATTTAGGAAAGACTATAGTGGAGCATTTAAAATGTACCTTTCAGACATGCTCAGTTCTACACTGTTCTGTGTCACTTTGGAGCCCTGCCATTTTAATATTTAGAAGTCACCAGGGGGCAGGGAGCAGAGACAAGTGTGATCATTAAACACCTTAGAGTGAAAGCAGCTCACACTTTGGGAAGGAGATTGCATTTCACCTTTCCTTCATTATATTTGGCCCTCGTCACAGACGAGGGTCATGTTTGGCAGTTGGCCAGTGGGGTGACTGCGACATATATCAACAGATGACTGGAAGGTATTGGAAAGCACCCCTTCTTTCTACTGTTCTGTACTGTTGTTGGCCTGATTTAGAAGCATCCGATATAAGAGGATTACTGTGTGATGCAAAATGCCAGCTCCTGCTCCTGTGCTGTGTCGTGGTCCATTTCCTGTTGTCTTTGCAATAATAGCGTTGTTTGGCACCTTCGTGGTATCACTGGTTGACAAATATTAATTGTCAACAATTGTGAGTAGTAAGCTTGTATTTGTTATTTCCCTTTGCTACATTTATTATGTGTGACAGAAACAATATAGTACTTTTTTTATACTTCTCTAAGTAGGTGCTGCCTTCACTTTGAAACTCTTTGACAAATAGATGTGTTTTTATCTGCTCATAGTGGGGTCAGCAGTGGTACAGTGTCTAATGAATGATGGTACTGAGATCCCTTTGAACTTGTAGTGCCCCAGCTGCCTGTGAAAACCCTATTTTGGCTTCTTTATTCTTCCTGTACTTTTTTTTAATCATGTGTCATGTTTTCAAAAATTTGTGCCGTGACCTTGCAGCTTGTTGTGCTCCATTAGCAAATTTGCAGATGACACCAAGTTGGGGGTAGCATTGTTCACCTGGAAGCAGGAGGGCTCTCCAGAGGGACCTGGACAATCTGGAGAGATGGTCTGATTCCAACAGCATGAGGTTTAACAAGGCCAAGTGCCGGGTCCTGCTCTTTGGCTACAACAATCCCCTGCAGCGTTACAGGCTGGGCACAGAGTGGCTGGAGAGCAGCCTCTGAAATATCTACTTGTTTGCATTGACATTAAGTCAGTGTATTCAGATTTGAAGTTCAGCCAGCCTCAATACTGATCAGCATCTGCAAGCCTGACTCTTGACCCAGTGACACTCAATGGTAGAATTTTTAACAAAGAATTAGCATTGTGGGGTTTGACACGTGGTGGAGGATATTGATAGTTCAGGTGACAGCAGCCTCAGCAAGGGTGAGCAGAAGGAGCAGAAGGCATTAGCTGCTGTGGTTGCCTGTGCAAGGGCTGACATGATGGCTGCAGGTCCTCAGAGATCTTGATGAGTCTGCAGTGGATACTGGTCCATCCTCCTGCTCCTCCCTAATGTCTTGGTCTCCTCATTACTCTCAAAGAATGATTTTCTCCTTCTGCACCTGCGCCTGCTTCTTTACTGGCTTTAGTTGCTGGCTACCTCCTGGCCCTACCATCTCTCCAGGCTCTCCAGGCATCCATCCCTTCCATTACTTCTCCCCCACACAACAAATCTCTGTTCAAAAATAGTGTAGTTGAATGTGACATGTCTTTACTGGATCATAATAGCTAACAAAGAAAAAAGTTCTGCATCCTTCAAGTTTGTCATCCGTCACTTGTGAATAACTAATACTTTCCCATCCATCATCATCATCATCTGCTTTTCTCCAGTTTGTCGCAGTTGAGAGAAAAAGAATCATATTTGTATATGTCTCTTGTAAGAGTTTAATGAACTGTTTTACCTTCTTGGATTGTCATGTTTTCCACAGCACAAGTTAGACTTCATCTTGGGAAGCAGTTGCTGAAGGTGGTCTCCCGCCTTTAAGGTGGTTTTCTTAGCTGCTAAATCTCTTTCAAGCTGGACTAAATAAATATTAATAAATAGTATGGAAGTGTTTTACTTTGGAGAA